GCCACCGGGCTGGCCCGGTATTTTAAATTTTAAGCACATTTAAGTGGTATACTTCATTTTATGTTGTCTATAAACTGTAAACTAGAAGGAACTCCAAGCCATTTGTAATCATTAAGCCCCAGCCAATCATTCCCTTTTGCCACATTTTAGTTGAACAAAATGTAACTGCTTACTTTAGACTGCTTGTTGAGAACAGAAATAGCTTATTGGAGAAAAAATGCTGGGTTTGACCTTAAGTATAAATGTGATCTATGCACACAGAAATTTACCTTCCCAAACCTTTTTCCATTTATTAATAATTTTCTATTTCTGCTGTTAAACTTTATTTTTTAAAAGCTAATTGCATTAGCTTTAGACATTTTTTTCAAGCCTGCTATATAAGGTATGTCTAAAATAATATATATAAAGCTGTTTCATTTAAAGCAGTTCATCCAATAATTAAACAATTTTCTTAATAATCAGTTTGTGTAAACTTCAACACATTTTTGCATGCATATTCATTTTCATGTCCAATTTTTTTCATGTTCTGGGAAATATAAAACCTTTGATTGGTTTGTTGAAGGGTATTCACAATTAAATCTTAAAGTGGATATAAAAGATTAAGATTTGAAGTATTTTATAAATCTGCCATTGCTTTATTCATCTTTTTTCTTCTTTTAAAAATTTCTCTTAAATTTATTTTTATTTATTTTTTGTATATTTTATATTATTTTTTACTGTGGTTTTGTTCTCAAAATATTCTTTTTCATAGTGTATTTAAAGATTTTTCTGTTCATTAGGCAAATTAAATGTTAGAGCAAATTGGATTAAATACTTTATTTTAACCCAGATAACTACTTTCATTTCACATTTTTTTATTCTGAAGTGTAACACTATTCAGATTAAGATATTTAACATTGCTGTCACCTTGAAGACTCCCTTTTGCCCCTTGCTCTTTCCAGAGGAAACTACTTTTGATTTCTATCATTGAAGACTTATTTTTGTTGATTCTTGAGCTTCATATAAATAGAATCATATGGTGTGTACTCTTGTGTCTGGCTTTTTTCACTTGACCTAGTTTTTGAGATCTATATGGTTGCACACATGTATAGTTGGTTCTTTCTTTATCACTGAGTAGCATTCTATTTAATGGACCATATTTGTTTGTCCATTCTCCCGCTCATGAACATTTAGGTTGTTTCTAATTTGTACCTGCTATGACTATAATTGTTTTTCTTTTTTTCTTTTTTTACAGTGAATGTTAGACTAGAATGAGATTAATGAAGTTATGTACCCAGGACAGGATAGAAAGTTAGCAAAAATGAAGACATAAATTTAATATTTTAATCAATTCTGTTTTTAAATGCCTTAGATATTTATTTTTTAGCAACTTCAGTGCAGTATATCATAGTGTTGAAAATCCCAAAAGTAGTAACTTGAAACAATTGTAACCATCACGGTATGGGGATCAGTATTAAATAAAAGAGGTGATATTTTCCAAAATATATTATTTTGTTGTCAAAAATGTTTAGTAAATTTCTCTATATGTATGTTGCAAAAATACTGTATTCTAGTAACTTTATCTTTTGATTTTGTTTTCAGGCCCTACACATATCTGCCATATTAGACACGGAACCAGAAATGGATGAGCATTTTGTTTGCACCTTGTTTAATCCAACTGGAGGTGCTAGACTAGGGGTGCACGTTCAAACCCTGATAACAGTTTTGCAAAACCAGGCCCCTTTGGGGCTATTCAGTATCTCTGCAGTTGAAAATAGGTATAGTTTATTCATAAGGAAATTATCACTTCCAAAGCAAAGTAGGGAATATTTTTTTGGACAGAAATGCAAAAGGAAATTGATGGTATCTCTGCAGTTGAAAATAGGTATAGTTTATTCTCTTTATCACTTCCAAAGCAAAGTAGGGAATATTTTTTTGGACAGAAATGCAAAAGGAAATTGATCTCTGATTATTTTTAAAGGGACATTTAAAATGAACTGTAGAAGATAGATCCAGAGAAGCCACATGCTGTCTCATAACAGGGAGCATGAAAAACCTAAACATGTGCTGTATAATGAGTGGTTTTACTATAGTTCTTATTTTCTCAGAGTTCACCCTTTCAGATAAAGCCTTGCACTATTTTGTGTTTTTAGAAATAATAGAAAGCAAGAAATAATATAAAATATACGTAACTGATCAAACAAAATGAATAACACTTCAAACATATGTTAACATGATTGTAGTCTTAAAATTTCATCTGGAAACTGACAAATATTTGTTTTTTAATCTTAAAAATATTTTAATAGTTTCATTAATATGCTAAGAATTTTTTGACTCATTTTTATCCTGTAAAATGTTTTTGATTTATTATGTGAAGAAACTTAAGAATGAGGTTACTGAAATTACTGATTCTCAGTATTTTCTTATGATCATCGTATCAGAGTGTTGCATTGTGCTTTAAAAAAAAAAAAAATCTTCATTAATGAATATTTTTGAACTCAGAGTCTATTCTTCCTGATGTATAAAATTTGTGGGTCTCACCTTGGGTTATGTAAATTTGAAAGTGTTTTAAGTATGTGATAGTAATGCGATATGTATTTAAATATGTAAAAATTATAATATTTTTCTGCTTCCCATAATCTGTTTCTTTTAGAGCCACCTCTATAGACATCGAAGAAGCCAATAGGACTGTATATTTAAATGTGTCACGTACTAATGGCATTGATTTAACTGTGAGTGTGCAGTGGGAGACAGTATCTGTAACAGCCTTTGGCATGAGTATGTCCAGTTTCTTTTTTATTGAAACATAATTGATTATATATATTTGTAGGGTACAGATTTGAATATCAGTACATATGTAAAGAATCTGGTGGCCAAATCAGGATAATTAGTATATTCATGTTTACAAAATGTAATCATACTTTGTGATGTATCGCTAACCCCCGTCCTCCTCCCCTTTTCCTACCTCTAATAACCACAGTTCTGTTCTCTTCTGTTTAGTTTCTTATGAGAACATTCTATAACCAAGAAATATTGCAAGTAAATCATTTCGATTTTTTTCATGAATTGTGTCTTATGGATCTGTTGAAAATGGAGAATGGATATTTAATTCTTTTATTTAAGTATTTATTATGTGCCTCTCGTGTTCTAGGTATGATAACTGAGTTCATGGGGCTTAGAATTCAGAGAGTGACAGAAATAAATCAAACATAAAAATCAATGTGTGGTTTAAACTATAATTAATATTTTAAAGGGAAAGTTCTCAGTGTTGTAAGAACATAGGGAGTGCTTACAAGGTGTATTGATGTTTGAACTAAGACTGAATGGTGAATGATGATTGATTATGAAAAGAACTGGGTTGGAGGAATCAAGATGAGAGTGAGAAGCTGTCAAGGCAGAAAACTTCACTTACGATAATAAAACATCGTAAGTGCAGAACTTAAGAGTGGACAGTGGGCATAGAAATAAGGAGTAGTGTTGAGCTTGGACAGCTAGACAGAATAAGACAAATAATATTTTATGGGCATCAGTTTTTATCTTAGGGTTACTGGAAAGCCTTTGAGTGATTTAGGCTTGGAGGAGAACTACCATGTGTATATGTGGTGTGGTCTGACCACATTTGCATTTTGAAGGTAGTATTCACAGTGATGTGTAAAGAATGGGTTGGTGCAGAAGAGAAGAGGATACAAGGAGACAAGCAAGGAGAAACCAGATGATGGTAACTTGGACTAGGTGATGGACTGGATATGAGGGTGAGGGAGAGACCAGGGATGACTCCTTGGTTTCTAGCTTGTGCAGCTGGATAGAGGGTCATTCACCAAGAAAGGGAATTCTGAAAGAGGAATAGGTGTTATTTTGTTGAGGGAAGTAAAATAAATGTGGTTTAACACATTCTGAGTTTGACTTAACATTTGAGAAGAAATTTCTACAGGCTTAAAGGAAGATCTGTGCTGGAGAGATAACCTTGGGAATGTTTAGCAAGTAAATAGTAAGAAATTGATGTAACAGCCTGAAAAGAGAGGCTTTATATAGAGAAGGGAAGGGGACCCAGAGTGATCTCTGAGAAGGTTCTAATTGGATGGCTAGGGATAGGATAATGACCTAGCAAAGGAGACTTATGAGACCTGATGAAAAACCCAGGAAAATACAAGGGTGCAGACACCAGCAGAAAGAAATATGAAGAGAGAAGCAAACCGTCATCTGCTGGTGAGAAGTCCAGTAAGACGAGAACCTAAAAAATAACCATTATTATAGTTAGCAATGTAGAAGGCATTAATGACCATAGCAAGAGCTATTTGTGTAGAGGTGTGGGAACTGAATAACATTTTGGGTTTTTAAAATTTTTTTTTTTTGGTAGCTGGCCGGTACAGGGCTTTGAACCCATGACCATGGAGTTATAAGGCTGTGCTAACCGGCCAGCCCCTGAATAACATTTTGAATAGACACCTCAAATATATACAGCTATTTCAGGAAGTTTGACTGGGAAGGGAGGACCTAGAGAAAGTAGTGATGTGGTACAGAATTCAGAGGATTTTTTGCTTGTTTAGTTTGGAGAGAACCAAGCATGGTTAACTGCTGATGGAAAAGGGCCTAGTAGGTAGGTAAAGATTGAATATTTAGAAGAGAAAAGGGATAATTTATAGTGGTATGGTTTCCTGCAAAGCAGGAAGGGATGGGATCCAAAAAAGAAAGAGTGTGGTTTTAAATTCACAGTTCTGTCCTTATTGTTTGGGCCTTGCAAGTGTTTTTTGGAAGTTCTGATGAGATAGGTAGGACATTCTTAACTGTCAGCAGTCATTGCTTATTCTTTATTCACTGTCTTTTTAAATTATTGTAGGGAAGGATTTGTCCACGTGCCAGGACTATTCAGGACTCTTAATGATAATGCTATGATGTACCTGTAAAAGGTGGCAAAACAGGAATTTAAAATATTAACTTTTTAGGAAAGGAAATTGCTAATGGGTATTACATATAAGGCATTGACATTATGCCTGTTTGAACTGGTAATCTAAAAATGATCAATCACTGAGGGGAAGCCTAGGTTTCAACCTTGATATTTGTTCTTGCTGCACCATGTTTGTACCATTAGCTAAAGTTTAAAAAGAACTTACTTTCTTTGGGAACAGTCATGTTAATAGATCAGAGAAGACTTTTTTAATAGGTTTCCTCCTTAGATAGTGTTTTTTTGTTTTTGTCTTTTTTTTCATAATACAAAATTTTAGGACATATACCAGTTTTAGCAGTTTGATAAAACCTTGACCGCCATTAGAAGTATGTGAGTCTGCATTAGCATTCTTTTTTTTTGTCCTTCCAGCTGCAGTCCATTTAAAAGTGTAATTTATTTTATTTTATTTTATTTTGTTTGTTTATTTTTAAAAATTTATCCATATACTATGTGGCATTCTTAAAATATATAAAATGGGCAGACTTTCAAATGAATAATGTCAGTTTTTAAAATCTAGCATTTAGCATGTGTCTGTAAAGGGTGTTTATTATTTAAAAATTTTCAGTTGTGTTTTCATCATCATGAAAGTTGATAAAAATCATGTTCAGCATATTTCTCTTTAAAATAAACTTTTAGTATTTATTTTAAATACACCTTGGAAAAATTTGTGTGGGTATAGAGCAGAGTAGTAACAATTTTTCCTGTTTTTGTAAATTGTTATTTTTAGTTACTTTTTTTTCAGGTTCTGTAGCTTGTCTGTCTTTCTCACATGCACATGTGCGTACACACACACACACACACACACACACACACACAGAAGGAGATTCACTTCTGGTAACAAATTCTCTAGTCTCACTGTTTAAACAATAAATTAGAATAGATAAGTTTGGAAGGGATTACACACTAATAAATCAAGATTTATGTTTTCCAGGAGGAATGGATGCTGTGTTTTCCATATTTCAAAGTTTTTTGGATGAATCAGCTTCTGGCTGGTGTTTCTTTACTTGGGAATATTCAATATATGGTATAATGTTAAGAAAATCATCTTTTACTGTTTACCGATGGCAAGGGATTTTTATTCCAATTGAGGTAAATATACTGTTTTTACTTTGCAGTCTACAAAATAAAATGTACAGGTAAATTTTGGATGCATCATGAATTATTGTTATTCTTATTCCTCATTTCCTAGGATTTAAATATAGAAAATCCTAAAACTTGTGAGGCCTTTAATATTGGTCTTTTCCCATACTTTGTGATTACCCATGAAGAAAGAAATGAAGAAAAGCCTTCTGTTAATAGTGTATATACATTCACATCTGGATTCAAATTATTCCTGGTAAAAAAAAAAAATCTTCATTTTTTTCATAAATTGCTTTTATTTTAAAAAATTCTGACTTGTAAGATTGATCAAAATTGAAGATAATGTATATTCTATGTTCATATGAAAAAGGACTTTTCGCAAGCTGATTCACATTTTAGCAAAGTATCTTAATCTAGGGATATTTTCGTCTTTCTTGAAATGATGCTTAGGTATGCATACCTAAGGATCAGAATGATTTTTCAAGTCTTGAACCTCAAATACTAACTCATACTATTGCTGTATTTGGTGCCTTTCTTAGTTAAAGTCTCCTTTAAAGTTTTATTCACACTTTTCTGTTTTCCTTGCAGGTACAAACAATCATTATTTCAGAAAGTTCTCAAGTAACATATTTTACTTCAGACAGTCAAGATTATTTAATTGTTGCAAGTCAAAGAGATGATTCTGAATTAACTCAGGTTTGATTCTTTTAAAATGAAGTTTTTATTTCTTTTCTTTTTAGTACTTAATTGAAGTTTATCAAAGATGGCATCTGTAGGTTTAGTATAAAAGAAAGACATAATTTGATTGTGGTAATCAAGTAGAATATAAATATTGATTAGTCACCATTCAGTTTTTAACAACAGAATTATGAATATTTTCTTATCTTCAAGAGCCAAAGCAAGTGCAATAATAAACATGAACATTTGATTAGAATTTAATTGAGTTGGAAAACGTTATGGAGAAAAATCACAGTAGCAGATGGTATCACTAAAAATTCTTGATCAGCGTTGCCAAAATGAGCACTCAGTATCATCCCAGAAATTCCACATTTGTCTAGTAAACTAGCTTTTGTAATCTCAGTAATGCAATTATTTGATGTTTTTTTATTAATCAAATTTCCATACATGCTTTTCATCTCATTATCAGCTAACACCTTTTTTGAAATGAGAGTTACCAGAAGAGATTACTCATCTTCCCAGCACCAAATTCCAAAACCCACTTGAAACCAAGTCTTGTTTCTTTCTCCTGCTCTGATGGAGGAAGTGTCGTTTCTATAAAAGCCAGGCCTCTGACATAGGTGCCCCTCTTGCCTGCATAAGATTTAGTTATTCCCTCTATCACGGGCATCTTTTCTCTCTGTTGGATTATTACAGTCAGCATATATGTTCTAGAATCACCCAGCTTAAAAAGAAATTATTCCCCTGATCTCATCCCCTGAAGTGTTTATTTCATTTACTTTCTCCCCTTTCTAGTAAGACATCTTGAAAGAATTATCTACTTGTTTTGTCTTTAATTCCTCATGCTCACCGATGACAATCCAGTGGATGTTTTGTCATCATAAATTACTTCCCATCAGCATGTGACAGTAACCTCATCCTCAGATTTAAACCATCTTTTCTCTTGTGGTTTCTACCACACAGCACACAGATTTTCCTTCTCTCTCTTTCTCCCTCTCCCCCCTCACCACCTTCTCTCATTTTTCTAAGGAAGCTGAAGCTTCATGTTGCCAATTCCTCCTCCCATTTCTGAACTTAGATTTCTTGGAGTTTTCTAGAATTGAGTTTTAGTTCAAATTTCTTTATTCATTCTCTTTACTCACTCTGGGCAATTGTTTTTCAATCCTATGGCTTTAAACATCAGCTATAGGCTATTATCTTTCAGATTATATGGTAGCCTTTCCTCTTTATTCCAGACTTTCATATCCAACTGTCTGTTGACATGTCCACTTAAATATATTTTAGGTATATAATATTTAATGGATCCAAACTGAACTTTTCATTTTCCCTGTGAAACTTGTTGCTTCAGTGTTGCTTTCGTCTCAGGAAGCAGCAAACTCATAATGCTGAAGAGAGAATCCTGGGATATTCCTTGCTTGATTACTCCTTTTTATTCTTTCACATCTAATTTATCATTAGTGTTTTTTATTGTGCGTCCCAATACTATTTTGGGTACATACATTTCTTTCCATCTCTACTCCTCCCTTCTTCATCCAGGTCCCTGTCATTTCTCATCCACACCGGTAGCATAGCCTCTTAGCTAGTCTCTGAGCTCCTTCTCTGACCTCAGATCCATTCTCCATTGAGTAGCTGGAGTAATCTTTTAAAAATATTAATTGACTCATGTTACTCCTCATTTTGAAACTATTCAATGATTTCCAGTTATATTTAGAATAAATTCTAAATTATTTTGTATGGACTATACATAGGATAACCATTTTCCCAATTTGTCTACGACAGTACTGGATTAGGCCTGTTGTCCTGGTATAATTATTAGTATTGCCTCTTTTACTCTCTGAAGGATCCGTATTTGGGTGACAAATTGTGTGGTCCTCCTAACGAAAGGTTCCTCTTGCTCTTTCCTCTCCAGCCTTATTCTCATTCTCCCAGCACTAGCACCTTCCTTCCCACTAGACTGGTCATCATTCAGAACATGGTAAACTTTTTCTGCATTTGAAACTTTGTCATGTCATTCCTTCCTTGTCGTGTCATTAAGATTTCCCTAATGTATCCATAATTCTCTGTCACAGCATCCTAATTTTCATCTCCAGCACTTATCTCAATTTATAATCTTTATTTATTCAATTACTATGTTTATTGTTTGCCTTTTCCTAATAGTTAATAAGTGCATAAAGGGAGAGACCGCTATATCCATGGCTCCTAGCATAATTCCTGGCTCAGAGTTCTTAACTGTTCACCGAATAATATAATTATTTGTGAAATTGGCCAGGTTGTAGAAGAAATCAGGCAGATTCTGAATTTTCTTTTAATTTTAAATATATAAGTACTTATCCTGTAACCTTGTATGCATTTCTACCATGGGGACAAAAAAGGTTTAGGTGTTTCTCCATATTCTATTGCTTGAGCAGTTGGTAATGATATTGCAGCAAAAGAAAGTTCATCCATTTTTCATATTTAAGTAAATTCTTCCCTGTCTTTGGCTTTTCCCTTTCCCTGCTGTCACTGACTCCTGCCCTTTTGATAAATCAAAAGAAGTTATCCATTTCTTTTCAAATAACTTCTTTTTCTTTCATTCTGTGTGTGTGTGCTCGTGCATGCACATACACATACCTGTGTGTACATGGGCACACACAGATAAAAAGAGAGAGAAGCAGGAGAGCTTCAGTTTTGGTATTTTCTCATTTATGAAAGTATCCTCTTAAGTAAATTAAAAGGTCCAGGAGAATAAACATATGATAATGATTAAATTCTCAGCAGTGCTAAATTCCTAGTCATAAAGGGTTGTGTATTTGAACATTTCCTACAGGTCTTCAGATGGAATGGAGGAAGCTTTGTGTTGCATCAAAAACTCCCTGTTCGAGGTGTGCTGACCATGGCCGTGTTCAACAGAGAAGGCTCTGTGTTCTTAGCCATTTCCCAGGCTAATGCAAGGCTAAATTCCCTTTTATTCAGATGGTCTGGCAGTGGGTTTATTAACTATCAAGAAGTGCCAATCAGTGGAACAACACAGATTGAGGCTTTGTGTTCAGGCAATGATATTTACTTAATTTTTGCCAAGAATATCTTAATAGGTGAGAAGATAATAATAGTGTTTTTAATGCATATATAGATATTATGAAAATCATCTAGCATTCATATAGTATGTTCTTTATAAAAATACTCTTGTTGGTATTTTTTAACTAATCCATAGAATGTTTCTTTTTTTTTTTCCTTTTTGTCTTTTTTTTTTTCATGACCGGTAACGGGATCGCAACCCTCGGTGTCGCGCCCGCACCGCGCTCAACCAGTGAGCGGACCGGTCTCTATATGGGATCCGAACCCTCGGCAGGAGCACCGCCACGCTCCCAAGCGCCACACTCTACCAAGTGCGCACTGGGCTGGCCCCATAGAATGTTTCTTGATGGACAATAAGTATTAACTCTCAGCTATAAATGGATTATGGGAAAAAAATTTAAGCATTATGCTCATAATCTTGTGGTGTTCTGAGCTGCTACTTTAAAGTTACATTAAAATAAAATTGGGAGTGGGTAGGTAGAGCAAAAAGATCTATGAAGATTTTATATCTAAAGCACAAACAGGTAACTTTTAATATGAATATACTTAGGGTGCTATGGATAATTTATCCTATTAATAAATAATGTTCAGCAAATTTTGATAAGAATGTTTCAGAATATTTTCTGAATATGAATATGCTTCCCTCTGCTTAGCGGAACTTTAAGATAAATATTCTGTTTTTTAAGAATGCTGGAATTTTTGTTGCTCTTCTTTTTTTTAACATCAGATCAAGATTAATGGCTAACCATATATTCACTTCATGTGGTAAATGCAAAAAGGACTTTGGAAGTGTCTCCTACTCAGTTGTTTTTGTTAAACTAAATGAATTCTGAGGAAATTTATTTTCTAAATTAATTTTAATATTTTAATGTAGTTTGCTGCAATTTTGTCATTTTTTTCCTGCAACTTTTATCTTCCGATTTGACTTCTATTTTATTATCATAGGAGATCAGAATTCAGTTGACATTTTCATCTGGGAGACAGGACGGCCTTCTTTCAGGTATTTTCAATCCCTGGATTTTGCTACTGTTAGCAGGATCCACTCCTTCACACCAGCCTCAGGAATAGGTAAGGGTTTTTCAACTCCTAACTAATGCTAAAGGCATTATGGAAAGCCAGCATTATTTTAATCCTTTTGCATTAGATGTAACGTCATTGGGTATTTTAATAGGAGTGTAAAATCGCAATCTTTACAATAATTTTTCCAGAAGTCCTGGAGTTTCAAAATGGTTGATACTTTCAAAATGGTCATTGTGCTTGAGATTAATCAGAATGACTAAAATATGGAGGAAAATATTAGTGAAGAATAAAGAGAATACAATATATTTCTTTTGTCTCAAGAAAAAAAATATTTTTAAAATATGCAAGTATGTATAAGACAATGATGTGTGCAGATAGTTAACTCAAGAAAGTTAAAATGTACAATGTAAATGATATTGCAATAACTAGAGAATTTAGCACAAATACAGAAGTTTATTTTTACAACTCCTTTCTTAGTTGCCCAACTGCTGCTTTCTCTATCAGGCATTGTGAAATTCAGGCACTGTCACCTTAAGTTGCCTCAACCATAGACCAGGAATTAGAGGCTATTTACCTCTAATTTTTAAATTAATGTCATTTTTAATTAACAAATCATAATTGATTACATTTATGGAGTACAATATAATGTTTTGATATATGTATACAATGTGAAATGATTAAATAAAGCTAATGAATATATCTGTCACCCTACTTATTAACATTTTTTGCAGTAATACATTTGAAATTTACTCACTTAGTTATTTTGAAATATACAATAATTTTTACTACAGTTGCCCTGCTGTGCAGTAGATCTCAGGACTTATTCCACCTGTTTAGCTAAAACTTCATACCCTTTGACCAGAAACTCCCTATTCCCTTACTCTCCTGCTCCTGTAGTCTCTGATAACCATCATTCTACTCTCTTCTTCTAAGAATTCAACTTTTTAAAGATTCCTCATATAAATGAGATCATGTTGTCCAAAATGTCAGAATTTTGTGCTTTTTAAAGGCTGGATAGTACTCCATTGTTTTTCTAGTGTATTTTGTTTATTTCTGCCCTGGTCTTTGTCATTTCCTTCCTTCTGCTTACTTTGGGCTTAGTTTGTTCTTATTTTTCTAGTTTCATGAGGTATAATATTAGATTATTTATTTGAGATCTTTTTTGACATAGATATTTATTGCTCTAGATTTACTGGTTCAAACTGCTTTTGCTGAATCCTGTAAGTTTTGGTATGTTGTGTCTGTCTCAAAGTATTTTAAAATTTTCTTTTTGGTTTCTTCTGTGACCCATTGGATGTTTAGGAGCATGTTGTTTAATTTTCATATATTTTTCAATTTTCAAGATTTCTCATGTTATTGATTTCTAGTTTTATGCCACTGTGATTGCAAAAAACACTTCACATGATTTCACTTCTTTTAAATATAAGACATGTTTTGTGGCCTACCCTACAATTCATCTTGGAGAATGTTTCATGTTCTCTTGAGAAGGAAAGCTCTTGTATTCGGTTGCTGTTTGGTGGAATGTTCTGTATATATCTGTTAGGTCTATTTGGTCTAAAGTGTGATTCAAGTTTAGTGCTACCTTATTCATTTGCTGACTAGGACATCTGTTTATTATTGAAAGTGGAGTATTGAAGTCCCACACTATTATTGTATCACAGTCTATTTTTTCCTTCAGATCATTTAGAGATTCCTTCATGTATTTAGGTGCTATCGGGTTGGGTGAATATATATTTACAATTATGTCCTCTTGATGAATTGATCCCTTTGTCATTATATAATGGCCTTATTTGTCTCTTTTTATAGTTTTTCTACATAAACTTTGTTTTATCTGATATAAGTATAGCTACCCCTGCTCTCTTTTGGTTTCCACTTGTTGGGTTGGGTGCATATATATTTACAATTATGTCCTCTTGATGAATTGATCCCTTTGTTATTATATAATGGCCTTATTTGTCTCTTTTTATAGTTTTTCTATATAAACTTTGTTTTATCTGATATAAGTATAGCTACCCCTGCTCTCTTTTGGTTTCCACTTGTGTGAAATATCTTTTTGCATCCCTGCATTTTCAGTCTTATGTGTCCTAACCAGTAAAGAGAACCTTTTGTAGGCAGCATATGGTTGGATTTTACTTTTTTATCCATTCAGCCACTCTGGTCTTTTGATTGGAGAATTTAATCCATTTGCATTCAAGGTAATTATTGATAAGTAAGAACTTGCTGCTGCCATTTTGTAATTTGTTTTCTTGATCCTTTGTTTCTTTCTTCCTCTCATGCTGTCTTTCTTTGTGGTTTGATGGTTTTCTGTGGTGGTCTGCTTTGAATCTTTTCTTTTTATATTTTGTGTATCTGCTACAGGTTTTTGTTTTGTGGTTATCAGGAGGCCTATATAAACCATCTTGTACTTAAACTAGGCTATTTTAAGCTGATAACAATTAAACTTTAATTACAAACAAAAACTCAACACTTTCACTGCCTTCCTCCCTTTTATAATTTTGATATAAAAATTGATCTTTTATGTAATTTGCATTTTCTACCTATTTATTCTAACTACAGGTGTTTTTAATAATTTTGGGTTTTTACCTTCACAGTACAGATAAAATTACTTTACACATCACCTTTACAGTATTAGAGTATTTTAAATATGACTATATATTACTTATATCTTTGAGATATTTACTTTTGTATGTTTTATGTTTTGTTAGCAACCTTTTGTTTAAGCTTAAAGAACTCTTTTTAGCAATTCCTATAGAGCACACTGAGTGGTGATTAACTCCCTCAGCTTTTGTTTTCTGGGAAAGTTTTATTTCTCCCTAATTTCTGAAGGACAGCTTTTCAGGGTGAAGTTTCTTGGTTGCTTCCTTCAGCACTTTGAATATGTAAGGGTACTTCAAAAAGTTCATGGAAGGATTTGTGTTATCTTTTAATTCCATTTTTCCATGAACTGTTTGGAGTATCCATGTATTATCCCATTCTCCTGGCTTGCTGTATTTCTGCCAAGAAATCTGCTGACAGCTGTGTTGGGATTCCCTTGAATATGATATGTATCTTAGCCCTTGCTACTAAAATTTTAGTATTCTTTCTTTGTCTTTGATTTTTGATAATTTGATAATGATTTGTCTTGGAGAACTTCTCTTTGGGTTGAATTTGATTAGAGACTACTGAACTTTCTGTACTTGGATGTTATTACCATTCCCCAGATTTGGGAAATTTTTAACCATTATTTCCTGAAATATGTTTTCTGGGCCCTTTCCTTTCTCCTTCAGGAACTCCTATTACCAGAATGTTAGTTCTGTTAATGGTGTTCCATAATTCTTGTAGGCCTAATTCATTCTTTTTAATTCTTTTTTTCCTTTTCATTACTCTGACTAGATAATTTCAATTATCTTATCTTCAAGTTCACTGATTTTCTTTCTACTGCTTGGTCAAGTCAGCTGTTGAGGCTTTATACTGAATATTTTAGTTCAGCTATCGTATTCTATATCTCTAGCATTTCTACTCTTTTTATTGTTTCTATTTCTTTATTGTACTTCTCATTTTGTTCATGAATTGTTTTCCAAATTTTATTAGATTTTCTATCTGTATTTTCTTGTACTTTCCTGAACTTTTTAAAGAGGATTATTCCGAATTCTTTGTCTGCAGTTTGGCAGACCTCCATTTCTTCAGGATTTATTGTTAATTTATCTTGGTGATGGTGTATTTTCCTGATTTTTCATGTGTTTGTGTTCATGCCTACACATTGGAGGAAACAGCCACCCTTTCCAGCCTTTGCTGGCATTTTTTGGTGGTGTTAGATTCTTCACTTTTCATCTAGCCTGGGATTCTGGTTGGGCCAGTTGGTAGTGACCCCAGACAGGTAGATCTTGCTGACATGTTCTGTAATTGGGCTGGGTTGTTACCTGTGCTCTGGTGTTGAGTGGAACTGCTGGCTGTGCTGTGAGGTTCAGTGAGACCACTGGCTGGATTCTGCAGTAAGGCAGAGCTGTTGGCTGGGCTCTGCAATTGCCTCTGACTAGGCAGTGTTATAGATTGTCTTCTCTGGCTTGCTAGTATTGGAGTTTGGGATCTGTATTTGGGTAGGGCCATGTGCTGGGCTTCAGGGCTGGGTGGGTCTCTGGAATCTCTACTTGACCCCTCAGGGTGGTCAGAGCCACAGGCTATGCTCCATGAATACTCATGTAAATGGGCTTGCCTTTCTTCCTAAGGTAGCTTTAAACATAGCACTGAGGCTTGATGAAGTAGCCTCTCTGTTGCTGTGTTTGGGCAGGGTCAGGTGCTTCCCTCAGCAAATACTTGCTGACCAGCTTTTGCCTCCTGGCCTGGCAAGGGCTTAAAGAGAGTTTCAGGAATTGGCTGGGTTGACATTATGCAGCTGAATTTGGGCAGGGCCATTTGCTCCCTCCCTGGATAGTCGGTGACTCACTCCATGCCTTCCAACCTGTGTAAGGGTTAATGAGTGCACCAGGGCTTGCCTGGGATTCAGTTCAGTTGCTGGGCTTGGGCAGAGCTAGATACTCCCTCCATGGATAATTGCAGAGATGCCACTATCTCCCAGCCTGGGGAGGTTTCAAGGAAAGCACCGGAGCTGGATGGGGAAGTGAGCCAGGGATTTGAGCCTGGGAGACCTGTTGACTGTGCTTCCTGCAGAGCAGTGCTGTTGCCTGACCTCTCTGCTGGTGTGCCTCCACTTGCCAGAATGCAGAGCCACCTCCATGACTCCTGCACTTGTTGCTGTGAGCCCTACCCTGATTTTTGTTTCTTCACCCCAAGTGGTCTAGCCCACCACCAATGTTTCCCATGGGGCAAGACAGGAGAAGGGTCTCAGAATGGTGGGGAAGCTGACTGCCTCCAACTGTCTCCTTTCTCTGTAAAAGCCATGCATCCCAGGGACTCCTCTGTGTGCAAAGCTGTGCTGGCTGGGGGAGGGGCAGTGTGGTCAAAATGAAACTATTCCTCTTACCCTTCTCATGCAGCTGTTTTCAGTTCTGCAGTCCAAGGGAGTGTCCCAGCTTCCCTACCAAGTTCTGTAATATTCATGAGAATATTCT